CCCCCCCCCGCCCCCTCCACCCTCATGAAGTGGAGGAACCAAACTGACCTAACTGCTCAACATTTTACGAAGAAAAAACTTACATCGTTGCTCCAAGAGGAAGAACGAATCGAGCGACGCGAGAGTCCACACCGTTATTTTCTTCAACGCATTTAATTGATAGCGGTAGTGTAGCCGAGCTATGATAGGTCATTAGTGGTTAAGAAAGCCCATAATATGCTTGAAGAAAAAAAAGGAATGCATCGATCCATGCCACGAGGACCTCTTTCTTTAGAATTTGTTCGCACACAAAAAGAGTCACTTTGAACTGAGTTTAGATTACTTCTTCACGATTATATATAAGCCTTACTAATGAGGGCCAAGTTTTACGATACAAGCAAATATGTGTTAGATGTGCCAACACATTATTGGTTAACTCGGGGAATGAGTCCTCCTCTGTTAGATCAGGAGTAAATTTGGCTTGAATTCATACCTTGAGCTTGTCGCTAAAGCGGTCAAAAGAGCTTGAGCCATTCCGCAGACGTATTTGACAGGGTTCCTTCTGGCTAGCTGAATATTGTGTATTAGTGAATGACTGTAATCAGGTGGCAATGATAGATGCTCACTGTGATCATCAGAATTGGAAGCAAAATAAAGCCATGGATGAACAGCCCGATCAACACCGTAATCATGTAACCCATCAATCGCTGAAGCTCTTTTCCCGGATTTTTCATAGAAACTATTTGTGCCGCTATGAGGAAAGTGATGCCGATGGGTGAGTACCTGGCAGTGAGATTTACTGGAGGAGTTGCTGTGCACAACGGGTCAGCAACCTACCAGATAACGAGTGAGATGAGCTTCATGCTGACTGCTTCAAGACTTTTAAAAAATGCTTTTAGAGCCAGCCCTTCCTCCCCAATCCAGCTAATCGTAATTCCGAAGGCTACACTGAACATTACTAGTCCAAGAATGTTCATCCCATCGGACGTAATTTTTTCAGGAAGTTCCGTAAAAACCGCGCGAGCCTCTGAAACCTCATAAAACTCTAAGTATAAAGCCGAAGTTTGTTGCCAAACCTGGGCTCATTTTCAGCACGTAGTCAGGATTTACCGATTCGGAGCCATTTAAGAACTTCATGCATACCTTATGCGATCGAAATGTTGCTTCAATAAGATTTTCTGGGAATAAGGCCCTAAAAACGAGTTTGCATTCATGTGGTGGTAAGTGCGGCTGCAAGACTGGACTGGCCTCACTAGATCCAAAATTGTATCCATTGCAGTGGAGATACATGGAGCCTTGCTAACCTCGCCAACAATTTCTTCAATATTAGTTGTCATCCACTTTCCAGGTTGAATAAGAACTACCAATACAATACCTCAAAAGAAGAACAATTTATAGCTAGAATGATAAATGGGCAGAAGTTTATTTTAGTTCAAAAATGTAACATCATCAAAAGCTAAATGAAAGAGAAACTGTTTCCTTCATTAATTTCGAGAAAGAAGGATAAAACGAACCCAGTATGACGGCCATCATAGTTGTCAAGAAGTAGTATACCAATGATATCAATCCAAGTTTTCCAGCAGTGTTTGAATCCACAGATGCCAAGCTTGTTCTGCAAATAATTTTGTGACAATGCGAAGATAATGCATGTATGTTTTTTGATATATTGACTCTTGACAAACAGCTTTCAGTTCCTGCATAATTACTTCCAAGTCATCATCTACCATAAACACCATGCATGGTACCCTTTTCAAATTTGATTGTTCCGTTATCAGTCAACTTATTGCTAGGATCTCTCCACTCGTGCAGGGCAGCACGCCTGAGTTGAAACCTAATCTCATCAAACATGCTTGCATAGATCCTTTATTTCCATATTTACTATTCAAACAGGAGTTTTGCATGCAGTAACTCAATCCAAAAGTTCGCATGCGCTGCCGGCCGAATGTCGTAAGCAGGAGAGCAACAGAAGCAATTGCCAGCGTTTTTAAAGTGGTCCCAGCCGATTAATAATGGGCCAAAGTCAAGGCTGTTAGGCACTTGCCAATGACTTCAAAAACAAGTACTTATCAATAAGAAAACTACGGTCTTGTTCCTACTGTGTCAGCCCCACTGATGGAAGAAAACGCAAATTAGAGCTGCGAAGTACGGCATGGGTTGCGGATCAAAGGTAGATTTCAAATGGACAGGCATTTTGTTATTTTTTTGTTTCTTTTGTCACATCTGTCTGCGTAGCGGGCGGGATATGCTCCTATAAAGCATGATTGTTAACTTCCTGATATGCCAGTAAGTGCAGGATTCCAAAGTTAACAGGTATGAGGCAAGCCGTTCATGGGTACGCTTTGACCTATAAAGCCGACTTACATTATACTCGACATGATCAGCGGAAGAATCAGCATTTTGAGCATTTGAACGAAGACGTCACCAGGAAATCGTAGATAACTCAAATGCCGTTTGCTCCATTTAGCATCGGGATCTCGTAATGATATACCCAGAATAATTCCTGCTACAACACCGAGTACTGTAAAGATTAGCAGAAC